CTTACAAAGGACGTTTGGTTCAGGAATGTTACCACCCTACTTGGACAATGTACAGTCGATATGCATCGCTGTTCCAGAAACCGTATGATTGAAAAGGGTGTTTCGCCATCGAAAGTTGATTCGATTAGAATTCTCAAGTTTACCGACATGATGTGTGGTGGCTTGAAACAGTGGCCTAAACCAAAGCAACACTTTCTCATCGTTGGAAATGAATATGGGAAAGGAGATGGACGCCTAACAAGGATTTATGGTAAGGATGGGGAAAGAACCAAGCCACCCACTAAACAGCAGGAGCAGCAAGGAAGGAACATTGGCAATGCATATGTGCGGAACTGTTTCGTATGCAGAGGATACCTCTCCAAAAAGGGGAAGCAAATCAACAATCAGACATTCTTCTGGTGTAGCAAATGCCGCATGCCCTTGTGCAGAACTGATAGATCCAAAGACGAAGAATTCGGTCCGCCGGGAAGTCGACATCTAACTTGCGTCGATGCGCACTATTATGCAAGCCACAATAGTGTTATTTGTTGCGGTAAAATTCATGGTCAGAAGGAGCAGTTCCCAAAGGAGGAGCAGTTATCGTTACATCCAAGACGCAGCAGCAGAAAGTTAGTGTATGGAGGAGGTTTCGTACATTTTATTTGTGATTAAGTGTAGGTAGTGTTGCTTTTTAACAGTGATGTACAACAAATAGTATCCGAAACCAATATGAGTATAACTTTTGCTACAACAGACTAAAATTGTTTTTAAAATATGTTTTGGAATGCTCAGCTCCTGCTCTTTTAGATGGTCTGGTTTGTTTTAATTTTGGGATTTTTCAGACGTTTTAAAAAATGCAGAAACATGTTGTGTTTGGGTACTATAGTATCATAGCGTCGCTACGGGTAACCACTAGTTGTCTAGTAATAACTTGCGTGAACTCTGCCAGAACGTCGCATTTTATTGTGTAACTGTGAACTAACTGTAGGGCCTCTTGCAGTTATTTCCGTAGCTACGGTAGTAGGGGTACTGTCGTAATACGGTGCAAGCTACTAGTCTTATGAAACTTGTCGAGGGAATGATTCTTCATTCTATAGTCAGCTGAGCCCCTTACATCCGGACAACGATGTGCCGACTGGTTCTTAAATGACGTCAATGTTTATCTCAGGAACAATGGCTGGGAAAATTGCGCAAACCGTCGATTTGAACACTCTAAGGATGTCTAACGAAGGATTGTCCAACCTACTCCAGCATTGCATTACGTCGTGGTTTGGAAGGCACAAGGGGACGGCAATGATGGCGGCGGGTAGCCGAAATGAGGAGCCGACGATTCAAAAACTCCGGTCCAGTGTCAAAATTCATCAACGTCATGTACGACGTTGGTCTACTTCGTTGGAGGAATAACAGATGCATTGGCGTTTCGCCTGATACCGTCTGTCTCATTTCCGTTATGGGGAAGACCCAGCCTGTTCCCTGGTGTGCCTGTGCACGAAAAGAATTGGTGGTTTCACGGCAAAGTCATGCTATGAGGAATTACGACGTCGAACCTTGTCTCCACTGACAAATCTTTCAATGAATCTCTGACCACTGACCCAAAAATATTCCTTACGCAACCGGGCTGCTACTGGACCATTTTCCACCGTCTTGCTCAATTCATTTTGCAAGAGAGCGTTGGTAGTCTCATCAGTAACGAAATCCCGATAAAAGGCAGCCGCTTGGATAGGTCCACCATGGTACCCGTGATGATGATGTAAAAGGCTACCATGGCATGGACCGGATTGAAGAAACGGTCCTTAGGGGACAAGACCGGTTCTCCTCGTGCCAAACTCCCAACATTGCACAGTACAGCCACAGCAAGTCCGCGTTGCCACCGTGTCTCATGCGAAATGCTGCTTCGGGCATCGCTCGCCACGCAAACTGGATTATGAAGAATCACGGCATGTAACTGACGCGCATCTAGATACAGTGCGATTTCGCCCTCGAGGAATGTTTCCTTTTACTTGAATCCGAAATGTTCCGTCAAAATCGTATGCGCCGAGATTCTCCAGTTCGCGTAGTTGTCCAGGATCAATTTGTTGGAATCCACAAATAGAATCCCATGATCTTTGAACAAAAAGTCGTTTACAATTTAAAACATACCTCTTGCTTCTTCCTTTTGTCCGACCGTATACTTGGAGGTGTCAAACATTTCATCCACGGTACTTGGATTTGCAACGGGAGGGAATGGCAGCGTATCAACGTATTGGTCCTGGAATTGTTCTCCCAGAATACAATTCGTTTTCACAATCTTGCTCGATAAATTCTTGACGCCCGACATCCAACTGCAAATCGCTTGTAGGGGAATAATAATTTGTCCATTCCCAATCTTGGATTGTATAACGGTGAGATGCTGCATCAGCCGTTCCGCTTCGGTGCTGTTGTCGAGATAGAGCTTTGCGACATGGTACGGAGAAAACAGGATCAACTCGGCAACAACTGCAAGACAAAATTGGTACTTGAGTCCAATTTCAATCATTTGGAGGAATGCCGTTTCCTTCATTCCAAACTGATCACCGCCCCGTTGGACCAAAGCATCAACAAGGAAACGTTGGAATGGATCCAGTTCTTCTGAATACGATAAATGGCTTATCATGGCTTTATATGTTTCATTCATTCTTTCATCGACACTTTCGTCTGTGTTGGTGAAATCCACAATAATAAAAAAGCGCGACTCATCAATGCCATAACCATCTTGATAATGTTGTAGAAGTCTTCGAAAATTCTTTGTAGATCCAATTTTAGATGTTTCCGTTCCGTCAGCGCTCAAGGTGCAATACACACCGCCGTTGGTTGTGATTGTCCGGCGTTTGATCTGGTCGGCATATCTTCCAAAGGGAAGTTCCAAAAAATTCTCTTCCCGGATGATGTTGGCACTTGCGATACAAAACGGCTTTACAATATGCCGTGCGTTCTCTTCACCCAGTAGTGACATTGGTCGAAAGTCACTGGCCTCCTGTTGTCCTTCCAAAGTCTCTTGTTCTGACTGAGGAACATCTAAACGATCTACAGGAGGAAAGGGACGTCTGGCTGGAGGTTTCATCTCCCGATAGTCATCGTGAATTCCAACATTGACGTCCTCTACCACATCGATCGTCTCATCATCCGATACGTCTTCCTCTGACATGCCGTGATTCTTCATAATCCAGTTTGCGTGGCGAGCGATGCCCGAAGCAGCATTTCGCATGAGACACGGTGGCAACGCGGACTTGCTGTGGCTGTACTGTGCAATGTTGGGCGTTTGGCACGAAGTGAACCGGTCTTGTCCCCTGAGGACCGTTTCTTCAATCCGATCCATGCCATGGTAGCCTTTTACATCATCATCCACGGGTACCATGGTGGACCTATCCAAGCGGCCGCCTTTTATCGGGATTTCGTTACTGGAGAGACTACCAACGCTCTCTTGCAAAATGAATTGAGCAAGACGATGGAAAATGGTCCAGTAGCAGCCCGGTTGCGTAAGAAATATTTTTGGGTCAGTGGTCAGAGATTCATGGAAAGATTTGTCAGTGGAGACAAGGTTCGACGTCATAATTCCTGTGTCATGAAGAAGGCTCGGAGTATGACATCCCAACATCCAGAAAGTGGTTCCGAAGAAGACTTGGGTGAACAATTGATTTCGTTGTTTGATTCGTATTGCAGTCTTCGTTCACGCAACTACAAGTATTTTCTGGAAAAGCATCTCCACAGCCCATTGAAAGAACACTTACTTTGGATATGGGATACCACCGCTACTAGTCCTGGCAACCGGGCAACGGGAGCCATCAAAGCAGTCACTAAATGGAGAGTCCAAAACAACGATCAAAGTGTGACAGAGCTGCTTCGGACCCACGGACCGAAAAATGGACAAGTCAAAGGCGAAGTATTTTGGATCAAAACCAACCAAAATGTCGTCACTCGTCCAACCGATGGAACACCTTCTACCAAACCATCCATCTTGTTTCCAGATGGAAAATTGGTGTATGACGATTTTTGCTTGTTGGGACTACGTGAACGGTTCCGTGAGCGACACCGTCAGAATACCTGTCACAACACGGTGCAGGCCATTAAACATCCCGATTTCAAATTGAAAGCGTGTACGGTGCACACGGGTGGATACAAGCATGTTGCCATTACATGTGAAGGTTATACCCAGGTCTACATTGAAGCTCCACAATCCAAGCAAGTCGTCCCATCCGCCACTTGTATTATTCCATTGGATCAACATACATCCCAACCGATCTATTATTCGAAACACGGCAATGATTGCGTGGTCTGTGTTGCCAAGGCATACCAACAATATCCTGGCATTAGCAGAAGAGAAATGCGCCAGAAACGATTGGTACCCAAATCTTGCTTTGGGTGTCCCCAATGTAAAAAAGGAAAGGGTGTCTCGGTTTGCAAAACGTGCTGGAAACATTTTGATCATGAATTGCATTACATGAAATGAATATAATATTATATTTTATTATAAAAAAAAATCCAAGGTGTATGATACGATGATGGCAGGCGTCACGTACGAAGGGATGTTGAGATTGGGCAAATTGAAATTGTGTGCTAAAGTAATACTCGGAGTACTTCGTATTTATCAGTTTCTGTTTTGGACTACTTGAGACTATTTCAGTCTTTCAGTCATAGGAGTCGATTTCCCTTGATTTCACGGATTGGATTCACAGTCATCACACACAATCAATCAAACAAACAAATTGACATCGAACATCATAATACCCAAAACAATATAGAAATGAATTACTACTGTATTACAGTTATTATAGTACAACGTAGTATTTTATTTTATTGAAAAAATGGAAAAAGTCTCAAAACGAACTCGCGAATCATTTTAACTGTAAGTATCATACGTCGCACATGACTCGTTCGCTTCATCAGAAAATGTCACTTCTTCATCGGTCCCCATTCCCCATCAAACCGATATTCCATGACAAGCCAGGCACAAAATGCGAAGAAAAAAAGGATGCTGTCGGGTTGTCCTCAACCCTGATGATCGATCTCGCCACTCGGAGTCGAACCAAGGACCGATGGATGACTGAACCAACTACAGTCCACCGCTCTACCAACTGAGCTATAGCGAGTTGATCTGACAATGCATCGGAAATTGGATTCTATAAACAATAAATCAGTTCAAATCACGTAATATCAATAAAAGTGAAGTCGTATTGAGACAGAGAGAGTAAAAAGACTGGAAGTTTCCCTTCTTGTCTGTCTGTCTGTCATCCTTCATCGTTTTCGAGAAAATGAGAAAATGACGAGAAACAAAAGGAAGCAAAATCTCTAATTTTAGCCATTTCTGGGATAGAAGAAGTATGATTTATTCTCTAGGCCTTGGGCATTACTTTGATCTGTGGCCATCCGTTTATAGTTAATTATGTATCACTGTTAAGGAGCGGCGCCGTCGTTATTTCATCATCGGGATGAGTCTGCTGCAAATGAGGAATCACACATCCTCTCCGCGGAAGTAAGCCATCCTGACGTTGCATCTTCCATCCCTTCTTCTCCGAGTATGATATCTCGTATTTATGGGCACAGGCTTCACAACGGACCTGTGATGTTTCCTAAAAAGACATACTACGTACGATGCACTCTACCGTACTAGCACAGTCGTACTACGATACCTACCGACCGGTACATACCTACCAGTCGTATGAAACAAAGGAAGCACGAAAGTACGGTAAACACCTGCCGTACCGATATTATGTTGTGCTATTCCGCACGACGCACCCAACGGCAGAAAGACATCATAAATGAGACTCGTTCACGCGCGCCCAACGACCAGGAACCGCGAAAATCCATCGAAACGAAAGAAAGAAATGAAGATTGCAAGGAGAATGGAGATGCCTGACACACTCAACATACGATAAAATAATCAAGTGCTCCAAGTGCTCCATGATTGTCACATCTACGCTCAACCGTCACGCCTCAACCGTCCGTGGAACTACATAGCTGAACAAAGATACTGTGCTGCTCTGCCGCTGCTCCAAATTTTTCTGCTTCGTTCCTTCCAGATAATATACGTTGAAACTTCACAACCCCCAAAGCTGCTTCGTCTACTTATTCTATTGTTTTTCGACACAACAACAAAAACTCCAAGCCCGTTTCCTCTTTCAAATCGCCGCCGTCCGACATGAATTTGTCAACTTCATCTCCGGTCCAAGTAATGCTCGCACCAAGCGAATGCTGTTCGAAGAAGACTTTGTTTCCTCGTGAAAGATGGTCCAGTCGTTCGGCATTCATCGTGACGGCAGTTGGTGCGGCAGTCGGGTTCGGTACTATCTGGAGATTCCCAGCTTTGGTTTATCAATATGGTGGTGGTGCCTTCTTTTTACCGTACATGCTAGCGTTGGTATGCATCGGTATTCCCATGCTTGTTCAAGAAATCGCCATGGGACAGTACTTACAGAGTAACGACGTTGCCGTCAATGCGTACTTTCACAAGACTTTCAAAGGTGTCGGCGTAGCCAGCATTTTCAGTGGACTGATTGTGTCCATGTACTATGTTCCATTGATATCATGGTGTATCCGAGCATTCTTTGAATCCTTTGGTCGAATGAGGGATGATTGGCAAAGCATGGAAGGCAGTGAGGCAAATAAATACTTTTTCCATGACATCGTTGGAACGTACACCCTCGACGAAGATCGGAAGCCAACCCGCGTTGTTGGCCTGAACGTGGTATATTTAGCACTGACGTGGATCATTGTGGGGTGTTCGTTGGCCTTTGGGCTGAAATGGACGGGTCGGGTGGCCTATGTGACGATGGGTCTTCCCGTCTTTTTCATGTTCCTGCTACTTATTCGTGCCTTGACGTTACCAGGCGCTGGCGATGGTATACATGCATACATTGGTGAATGGGACCTGAGTGTCCTCGTCCAGCAACCAGATATTTGGTCCACTGCTGTGGCTCAAACATTCTTTTCCGTCGGTATTGCGGTAAGTGTTGGGAAGGGAAGGGAAACCACAAGTAGCCATTCAGCTTTGTCGAGGTTCGACCAAGTGGTGACAATTTCTCATTCTTGTTGTGTTGACGATGTATTTTTTCTTTTTCTCAAACAGTTTGGTGTGATGACGGCATTTGGATCACATTGCGAGCGAGATGCTCCTGCATTTGAAAATTCGATTGTAGTTGCAGTTTCCACTTCAGCATTCAGTATTCTGTCCGGATTTTGTCTGTTTGCCATTTTGGGATATCTTGCATTGATGCAAGGGGACTTTCGCGTGCAAACGGGGCCAGCTTTCTTGTTTGGAGCATACCCAGCTGCGCTCTCTACAATTTCAGGGGGCTTGCATTGGGTGCGACTGCTCTTTTTGAGTTTGATCATGCTTGGACTTAATTCTGCCTTTGCTTTAGTGGAAGGGGTGGCGTCTCTTGTTGAGGATTCTCAATTCGCCCCCTCGGCTCCATCCAAAAAGATGCTAATCGCAGGGATATGCATCATTGGCTTTTTGGGAGGCTTGATCTATACCACAGATTCTGGGTTGATCTTTGTCGATACCATCGATTACTACGTTAATTTTGCGGTCCTATTCCTCGGATTTTGCAAAGCTCTTAGTGCTGGATGGATCTACGGCATGGGGAAGCAAATGGACAAACTCGGCTACAGCATGGTTTATGGATACTTTGGTGCAACGTTTGGAGGGTTACTCTTTGCTTCCTTAGTATGGTTTGGCGTGAAAGAGAGCTCTTTTTGGTTCGGTTTGCTTTGTTTCTTGGTCATTTATGGTTGTGGCTTGGTCTATTGCTGGGGGATCATGAAGAGTCTTGTGAGCGAAGAGAAAGGTATCACCATGATGGACTTGTTCCACGAATTGACCATGGGAAACATTTTCAATCTAAAAGTTGAATTAGAGGGGACTGTTGGCTACATGCCATGGATTTGGGCTTTTTTGATGAAACATTTGATTCCACAAGCGCTCTTGGTCCTGTTTTTCAATCTGTTCTTTGCAAAGACAGCTTACGGTGCGTGGAAGCATACCGAATTGGCGTGAATTACACAAATGCATTTCTATCGCTAACAAAATTGCAATATTGTATCGATTTTCGCAGGCAACATGGAATTTGGCAATTACAACAACTACGAGATTTGGCCATTCCAAGTGTTAGGCGTTTCTTGTGCATTGTTAATATTCGCCATCGTGATTTCCGGTATGGCGTATTCGAAATTGTTCAATGTCTTCATGAAGACACCTCTGGATGAAGAGAAGGAATCAGAGTGGGTGGATGTCAATGTTGAGATGCTGGAACAACAAGAAGCCAGCTGCGACTACGTCAATATGGAACCCCAGATAGAGTCCGTCGTCGTTCCACCACTTGCACTTGATGCGAATGTCAACTCAAATGTCTCCGACGTTGCCGACGAAAACGATGTCCATGTTTTGACATGAAAGGGCCAATTTTTTTCGATGAAACGTACCAACCTGTAAAAAAAGGAAGTGATGCCGTTGAAACAATTCATTAAAAGTTTAAAAAATGAAATTACAAAAGAGTCGTGTGAGAGGTGGAGTGGGATATACGTTCACTTTCGGCAAGTCGTCATTCGTCACGGTAGGTTCGAGAAGTGTTCCATCGTTTTCTTGCAACGGTCTTTTCGTATGGAAGACAAACCAGGTTGTCAAAGGAATATGTATGGATGGCCACACATCAGAGCACCGCCCAGGGTGAATCGTACTCCTTCTCCCTTCCATTAATATTCTGCAGTTTCAACTTTGTGCCTGCTGGATTGGTAGAAAGAGATCTGATGGATCGAACACGAACAAAATTATTGAGATTTTCGTCTCCGCCAATCTCATCGACCGTGACGGACAGGAAAGGAGCGTCTTCGCGCCGAAAGAACTTTTTCGCGCCAATATCGCACTTTATCTGCGTCTTCTTTCGGACATTCGTTGCACATAGGTAGTCAAAAGCTTTGTTTTTAACTTTGGACGGAGCCCACCACGGGGCAGCAAAGACCAGACTTCTGTCCACTCCGTACTTCTGAGAGAGCTCTTGGGCGTCCAAGACTGTTCCAGGACGAATGGGAGAGCAAACTTTATTCCCGACTGATACGCCCAACCATAACGAAGGCAACTGTATCATGGAAGCCATGATCACAGTCAACAACCAGACTCCCATCAGAATTGCTGGGACTTGCATCCGCTGCAAAAGCCCCATCTCCTTGTTAGAACCCCTGCGCAAAATAGAATCCAAATTCGATTCTTGCGTCAAAAGTCCCCGCTCATCACATCCCTTTGTAATTTCCACAGGTGAAGCATCCCGTACATCGAAAAGATGCAAAGATTGTTTGAACTTTTCCACATGGTTGACGACATCATGATTGACATCATCGTCACCGTTGCATTCCTCGTCGGCGGTATCCTCTGTCGCCGCTGCTTCGATGCCACTCGGAGGCAACGGCTCTTGAGACTTCTTGGAGTATGCCGAAAAATTCATCCACGACAGCTCAGTGGATCTGGCAACTCCTTTGACGAAAGGAAGCTCCTTGCTTGACCTTTTCCCCTTCTTTTTGTTTTTCACAAGCTCCTTCTTGCATTCTAGATTTACAAGTTGAACCTCCTTAAGGACGCGAGCAAAGTCGCAACAGCGATAATCGTAGCGCATCCAAAATTGCTCGGACGTTACTCGTCCAGAGTGCTCAACGAGATTATGATAAAACTTTGCAACCGTCGAAGGATACTTCTTCATCACTTGCAAACGGTAAAGGGAAGTCTTTCGGGAGTTGCTGTATTTCTTGTGGTGAGAACGAAGAAACGCTTTGTGGTCTGCGTCACCATCAAAAATGATGGGGACCGTGTAAGTCTTGATGTCAGCTCGACGTTTTTCAATTTCCTTTTTGGCCCTTTGCGCGGCGATTGGATTCATCCGCAACAGGACGGAGCGCTGAGCACTTGAGGCGCTAGACACCAAAGAAGCACTCATCCTTCTTACTGGCGAAGCTCGAATATAATGCGCAAATGAGCTATAGCACGCGATGTCCATTCACTTGACTTGGTCTCGATTACTTCATCAATCACGCCAAACAGATTTGGTCTAGCTAGAATGGAATATTGATGAAAAAGAAGTCATGTTCAGATGATCAAGGA